GCCTAATTGTGCTAAGTATGGAAGAAATCATGAATGTAAATGTCTAGTGGGTTCCAATGCTTGTTTTAGTTGTGGTAAAACGGGTCACAAGATAAAAGATTGCCCTTCAGTTGCTAAGAATAAGAAAGATAGTTGTCGTAGGGCTCAACCCTATCCTTCATCTTGTCTAAGTGGTTTGGGTTCGAATACTCCTAAGCAAAATAGGTTTTATGCACTTCAGATTCGAGTGAACAAGAGGGTTCTCTCGATATAGTTACCATTTTAATTTTTTTTGAAATTGATGTATATGTTTTACTTGATCCCGATGCTACTTTGTCTTTTATGACGTCATATGTGGCTATGAGATTTGATATACTTTTCAGTGTTGTTAGAACCTTTTTCTATCTCTACTCCTTTTGGTGATTCAGTGATGGCTCGGAGGATTCATAAAAAGTGTCCCGTCTCCTTATCCCATAGAGGTACTCTTATTGACTTGGTAGAGTTTGGTATGTTAGATTTTGATCTCATTCTTGGGATGAATTAGTTAAACTATTCTTATGCTTCTACTGATTGTAGAATCCGTGTAGTCAAGTTTTAGTTTCCAAATGAACCTGTCCTAGAGTGAAAGGGGAAAAGTTTCATGCCGAAAGGTCGATTTATTTCTTATCTTAAAGATATAGAAATGATTTCTAAAGGGTTGCTTGTACCATTTAGTTAGGGTGAGGATTTTGAATTTTGAAACCCCTAATCTAACATCGGTTCTCGTTGTTAATGAATATCGAAAGTATTCCCAGACGATTTACCCGGTACTGATAATTCGATAATGAGAATTACAGTTACTAAAAAAAACTAATTAAGAGAAGACAAATTTCTATTTCTTTTACTCTTTTATGATTGTTGTGATTCGTTTTCTCAATCTATTTTTTGATAAATTATACATTATTAGACAAATTAGGGGTGGGCGTTCGTTCATCAGTTCAGTTTAATCAAATTTTGGCTCGGTTCTTCGGTATTCGATTTTGGAAAAATGTGAACCATAGTTTATACAACTAGATCGGTTTGATTTTTTTTACTTCGATTCGGTATAATTTGGTGTTTTTTAATCGGTTTTTCGGTGTGAATAAAAATAAAGATGGAATAAAATAAAGTGTTAATTAAAAATAAAATAGTTGAATGACTGCCAATTGCCATATTGTTAACTGCTAAGAAGTAAGAACAATCTGCCAACGTTTCATCCTCTGCAATACTCATCCCACAACCCACGTTCCATACACTCCTAATTACACTCCTAAATCCTAATCCTCTGCAATTCCACGTTCCATATATCCTCTGCAATACTCATAAATTTGCATATTTCCATACAATTATATAAAGGTTTACCTCCAGACATTTGATTAACTACTCATTCAAATTTCAATCTTTTAAACTCATCTCCATACATCCCCCACACCTCTACTATACTTTTAAACTCATCTCCATACATCCCCCACACCTCTACTATACTTTTAAACTCATCTCCATCCCTCACACCTTTCACGTTCTTCCTTCATTTCTCTTTTCTTTTCAACAACCCTCAATTTCTTATAAGTAAAAAGGAGAGATAAATTCACTTTCAAGTTTCAACAAAAATAAATATAACACCATCAAAAATCTGAGGCTGAGCATATCTAGGCCTCAGACGAGACGACGAGAAGACGGAAGGCGGTCGACGGCGCTCTCGGTTGAAGCTTGAAAACGACGAGAAAGATGAAGAAAGCTTCAAGACGACGAGAAACAGAGAAAGATGAAGAAAGGCGAAAGCTTGAAGAGTAAAGACTGAAGACGACTCAAAACTCAAAAGTTTAATTTGGGGCTTAGGGATTACATTTTAGTATTTTAATTGTTAGTGTCTTAATGATTTGAAATTTTAGTAAAAATTAGTTACATGTTGGACTGTAGTGTATAGTCAATTCATTATTTCATTTTAAAAATGAAAATATTTTGAGTAAAATTCAAAAATATATAATATAGGTAATATAAATTAAATATTTTTAAATTTATTAAATAAAACTTCGATTTCGGTGCACTGAAGTTTCGGGACCCTTGCACCTAACTTCGAACTGAAGAACGAAAGTTTCAAAAAAAATTGATACCGAACTGAAAAATCAAAGAACCGACATCGAAAACTGAATTTTTTAAATTTGATTCGGTTTTTCGATATTTTTGCCCACCCCTATGACAAATATTAATAGCGTCTATAATGATAATATATGTCTCATTTTTTATGATGCTTGTCAGATTTTTCACAACATATGTTATGTTTTTTTCATAATGTATATCATTTTCTTTTATAATTCGTATTGAAAGAATATTCATTTGACAAACAAATAATAACATATTAAATATGATTTTATAAATTTAATATTAATAAGGGGGAGATATATACACTCTTTTATCCCTAACTTATGAAAATAGAGGAAGAAATTTTAGCGACTTAATATTAATTAAATGTGTATAAATATTTAAAGTTGGAGTACTTGCTCTCGATTTGCAATCAATTAGTATATATTTATTTGTTACACTTTTTTTTCTTCTAATTAAAATAAATAGTGTATTAGATAAACTATTATTAATGGCTATGCATGTTACGAAAAAAATTCCCAACAAATAACTAATACTAACATATCAAATATAATTTTACGTATAAGATATTAAAAGAATATTGTCTAGTCAATCTTGTCCCTTACCTTATAAAGATAAAAAAATTAATTTCAAAAAACAAATAAATTACTTAATTAAATATCGAGGGTGAGTAAATACTTCTCCTCTACTGTAATAAGTATTTCTTCAATTTCATCATTGCTAAGAATTCTTTTTGTAATTTTTTCTCTTATACTTCTTGTTTTTTTCTCAATCTATATTTTAAATAAATAATTCATTATACAAATCATTGTTATACAAATCATTATTAGTGGTAACGTATGTCACATTTTTTATAATGCGTATCACATTTTTTCACAACGCGTGTCACATTTTTTTATAATTCATATAGTCAAAAATTTATCCAAAAATTAAAAAAAAACGTATTCAATATAAATTTATTAGTGATATTTTCTATTTTATGAAAATGGATATACTATTTTCGATTTTTTTCTATACCTATTTAAAATATAAATCAAGTGCCTATAAATACTTGCACAACTATTATAAGTATTTTTCTAATTTCAGAATTCCTTAATAAATCAAATAAGTGAAGGAAATTTCCTAATTTTTACTTCTCTATGTTTATTTATTTTTTTGGCACAATATATATAAATTTGTTCTTGATTGATAATTAAATAATATAATTTTGTATATGCATATATATATATATATATATATATATATATATATATATATTGTAATTCATTTTCATTATTTTAGTTGAACACTCTAACTTATAAAATAATTGTCTAGAAACCTCTAAAAAGTTATATCGTATAGGGACACGATAATAGAGTGTTCAATTGCTAGTTGAGTTTAGACTAAGGTATTTAAAATAGATAAATAAATCACTTGCTTAATTAAATATCGGAGATGAGTAAATCTTTTTCTTCTAATATAATAAGTACCTTTTTTTTTTCATTTTTATCGTTGCTTTTTTTTATTAAACCAAACAAAACAATTTTCTTATTGTTTTTATTGTTCTACACTTTTCCTTTCCTTTTATTTTTCTTTCTCAATCTATTTTTGAAAAATAAATAATACATTAGACAAAATATTAAAATCGGTAATATATATCACATTTTTTACAATGTGTGTCACATTTTTTAAGAGTCGAGTTAAAATAAATTTATCTAATAAATAAAGAATAACATATTCCATATTATTTTATAATATATTGAGAAGGTAGTGTGTACACAATCTTACCTTTACATTATGAAAATAGATTAAATGTTTTTAAAGGAAAATTTTAGCTACTTAATATAAATCATGTGTGAAAAAATATTTTTCTACCGTAATAAATATTTTCCTAATTTCATCGTTGCTTATTGAATCAAATAAGAGAAGAAAATTTTCTAATTTTTACTTCTCAACATTTTTTTGGCATAGTATATAAATTTATACACTTAAACTTGACATCAATTGATAGTTAAATACTCTAACTTTGATTACGTACATTTAGGCATCATAACTTGTCTATATCTTGTCAATTAAATACTCTAACTTACAAAATGATTACTTAGATACCACTGAAAATATGTGTGCCATATCATTATCGAGTATTTAGAGATACTACAGATACAAAATATAGTGTTTGGTTGCTAGTTGAGATCAATCCGATGCGTGTACTAATATATACTCATGAAATTAGAGTTCTTACTTGACAGTTACGTTTAATCGAGTATCTAATTATATATTATATTTTTTTTCTCATTTTAATTTTTATATCATTCTTATGTGTATCTCTGAAGGTAGAAAGTTTACGGATTTTTTTAAATCAATTGCTTAATATATATAATACTATACTTGTTCTTATTCATTATCTTTGAAGGTAGATATATTATTTTTGAAAAAAGTTTAAATCAATTGCTTAATATGACATTATGTTCATACTTATTCGAATGATTGAAGATAGAGAGACTATTTTCGAAAAAACTTAACTCAAATGCTTTATATAGTATTGTACTCATCAATCTAAATATTATACTCATTCTTATGCGTATTTTGGAGAATAGAGAGATAATTTACGAAAAAAATTAAATCACTTACTTAATGTAATAGTCATTCTTATCCATATTTTTAAAAATTTTTAAATCAATTTCCTAATATGTATAATATTATATTCAGTCTTATCCATTATCTTTGAAGGTAGAAGGCCTATCTCGGAAAAATTTAAATCAATTACTTGATATGATATCGTATGTATTCTTTACGTATTTTGAAGATAGAGAGCCTATTTTATGAAAAGAAATTAAATCGATTGACATATTTTTTTTCTCAATTTTAATACCAAAAAAGAAGTTTTGTATAAATATATATACCTTTTTGGGTTTAGATAGTTTTTCTTAATATTTACTCATAAATGATTTTTTCTCTCTCTAATAAAACATACTAACATTTTTCCCTTACCAACAACACACATACCCTTTTTCCCCTTTTCCTCTCATTCTTCTTCTTCTCTTCCTCTTCCTCACTTTTCGTTTGCACTGTGTTAATGGTTTGCACCAATCGTCACTGTCATTGAAACCCTAGTTTGGATACTTTTCTTTGTTGTCAGGTAAGACACTGTGAGTATTACTGTTTCTAGGGTTTGTTGGGTGGGTCGGGTTAGAAACACGAGAATCGGGTTTGGGGTTGTTTATTGGGGTTTGTATTGAAGTGGGTTTCTTTTGATTTCGGTTATTGGGGTTTCTTATTGTTGATTTATGATGAAAGTTCTGATTTTTTATCTACTTCTCTTAATTGATTGATTGGTGGATCTGTTGTATTGTAGGATAGAGATTGAAAAACACACAGCAAAGCTGTTCTCTAGGGTTTGAATTTATGTCCCACAATCAATCAAGGGCTGACACTCGCGAGTCGTCTCAGTACAGGAGAACCGCCCGATCCGGTAGCTTTAATCAGCACCGCGGCGGCCGAGGAAGTGGTGGCGGTGGCGGAGGCGCCGCCCCTCCTCCTGTTTCTTCAACCTCCAATCCATCTTTGACTTCTAATAGAAGGTGAGTTTTTGCTTGTTTCTGGGTTATTTTCTGAAATTGATCGTTTTGTAAAAATAAACTAGGGTTTTTCTATACTTACTGGTGATTCTTGGATATCCATTGTTGTTTATCTCTGTTAGTTTCAACAAGAAGTATTATAATGCTCAAGGAGGGCAACCTAGGGTAAGTGGCGTTGGTGCTGGCTCTGATTCTCATCTGAATGGTGCTCATCAGCAACAACCATCGCATGGTATGTCAATTGACCATAATAATCTTTTTGCATGCATATCAGGCTTGCGAAGTACTAGTTTTACTAGTTTATTCTGAATGCTGAGATGGGTTCTATAGGTTTAAAGCTTACTGTTTGTGATAATTTTGTATAATGTGGTTCAATATAGAGTATTAGTGGTACTTTTGTTTTACTTCAACTCAAGTATAGTTCACTTTATCTTGTTGCAGGAGTATCAGATGTTTCTGTTGCTATTGCGCACACACCTCTTCCCAGTGCTACTGTTAAGCCAACTGATGCTTCGACTCAAAAGGTTACTCGAGCAGTGCCACGAGCTCCAACTTCTAATGTCGTCCCTCCAATCTCTGAGTCGTCTGCACCTGTCACTCCTGCAAAGAGTATCTTCTCAGTCTTTATACATCTACTTGTACTCTTTTTTCGGGTGGGGTTGGTGGGGGTGGGGAAGGGTTGACAACTTGTTTGTGTAGGAATATTGACACTTCTTATGTATATAGTTGTAGTTCCTACTATTGAATGATATTACTTTCTGATTTTCTAGATCCAGGAGATGCATCTAAGTCATTTCCACTTCAATTTGGATCCATAAGTCCCGGTGTCATGAATGTTCTTCAGGTATTTCTAGACTCCACCATGAGTGGTGTTCTCTTGTGTGTGGTTAATTTGAAAACTTTCGTGCTAATAATTGAAGGTATTTGCTTTTACAATGTGTACAGATACCTGCGCGAACAAGCTCAGCTCCACCAAATCTGGATGAGCAGAAGAGAGCCCAGGTTTTTTCATCATCTTCTTCGTTTTTGTCTGATTATGAATTTTCTGATACCCGATCTGAATAACCGAGCTTGTAATTTAGCTTCTTTGTATTTGTTGGAACAATATGATGTTATTCTTGCCCGTGGAGCAATCTAGTCCTGGGCCACAGAGTAGCTTATGGCTCTGATTCATTAATTTATTTCGCAGGCTCGTGGTGACACTTCAAGAGCTATTCCTTCGTTGCCAAATCCATCCACTTCCAAGCAGCCTATGCCAAGAAAGGATGCAGGACCCCTCAACCAATCCAATCATAGTGAGGCTTATGGGGTGGCTAACAAGCCCAAAAGAGATGTACACATTTTAGCTCCACCTCCTGTTACTCAAACACAAAAGCCTTCTACACATCCCATGCCTGGAATGCACATGCAAATTCCATTCCACCAGCCACCTCAAGTTCCTGTTCAATTTGGTGGTCCTGGACCACAAATTCCATCTCATTCCATGTCTGCTACATCATTACCAATGCCGATGCATCTGCCAATTGTCAATCCACCTATGCAGCAGCCAATGTTTGTCTCAAATCTTCAACCCCACCCAATGCAGTCTCAAGGGATGATGCATCAGGGGCAGGGCTTGAATTTTTCATCAGGAATTGGGGCTCAGCTGCCTCAGCAATTGGGGAACATGGGAATGAATATGCCATCACAGTTTTCTCCGCAGCAGGCTGGGAAGTTCCTAGGTCAACGTAAAAGTGTGAAGATAACTCACCCGGAAACTCATGAAGAATTGAGGCTTGAAGAGAGGTCACACCCTAATATGCCACCTCAATCACAGCCTATTGCATCATATTCTCCCAGTCATCCTAACTATTATCCCAACTCTTATAATTCCAATTCTGTTTACTTTCAAGCTCCAAGTTCTATTCCTCTCAGTAACACTCAGAGTTCTCAGCCACCAAGGCCTTTTAATCAGGTTAGTCGAGGCCAAATCCTGCATGGAATTTTCTATCTCAATTCTCTTTATGCTTATCACTGAAATCAGTACCTAAGAGTTTTATTTACTTGCAATTAATTTTTTCGTGCATGCTCACAACATAATGTATCTTGTTCATGCTAATCAACTTTAGGTGACAGTGAAACCGGCTGCTGGAGGAATACATTCAGGAAAAGAGCAGTTACCATCTGTTAGTTCTTCTTTTGGAAAAGATCCAGTGAGGCTCTCAAAGCCATGTGGAGGAGATTCAGCTCACTCTCAGAAAGACGCAAACACTTCACATCAAAGCTCCACCACTCAGTCAAGGACTGGCGATGGCTCAAAATCTTCTTCAAGGCCTGTAGAAAATATACAATCTACTAAAGGGGCTGATTCTATCTCAGGGAAGAGCTCAGCAGCTGGCATATTGTCATTGACCTCTCAAGCTCCCATTGAGTCTTCAACATCTCTAATTAGAGATAGTAGTGTAGATGCAGCTAGTGAAACACTTGGTGGCCCAGACTCCACTGAAGATCAAAAGAAAAAACAAGTAACTAGGGGACAATTGACTGTTCAAGATAAGGTATTTATTTGCATGCTTGATAACCACATCACTATACTATCTCGGTCCTACTTATGACTGGAAGTTCTTTGCAGGCTCTTGGGAAATGTACCTCAGTTTCAATTCAGACTCCCCAGTATCCACTAACCACACTCGTTGAGGTCAATACTGCTGCCTCAGTGAGCACTGCTGTGAACACTAGGGAAAGTCTATCTCTGTCAGAGTCCGCTGAATTGAGAAGTCATATTACTGGAAATTGTGGAAAGGAAGATTTGTCTGAACCTTTGGATTCCAGAAATCAGGATGCGGGCAAACCAGTACTTAAAACTGGGGATAGAAATGAAGTAGCATTGTCTAAGGCCGGGAAGCAGGACGAGAATAATAGCTTGAAGCCACCTTCAGAATCTCTTCCGGTAGAATCTCCTGAGGTGTCTGGCCTAACTGAAGGGGGTTCTCCAAAGAGAGCAGCGTATGCCAATATTGAGAATGGTCGACCAGAAATTGGAGTGGAGCACATGAATGAATCTGTAGCTTGTTCAACTGGAGTTGATAGCATAGCTGATAGCTTTACATCATCCACTTCTAACCAGGATTCTACTAATACCGAGGCTTGCACATCAGCAATTGGTCTATCGGCTCAAGATGATCAGGAATCAGATATTGCGGACCCCGAAGAAGCTCCTGTTACAAAGTCGGTTGACGCAAGTCAGGAGTTCGCCTCTGATTTGTTGAAGAGTTCTGATGAGGCCACTTCAAAGAGTGAAGATGAAAATACTGAAACTAGTAACGCCGGTTTAGTTTCCAAGTCGTCATCTGGCGTCAAGGAGAAATCTTTGGTGGATTCCAATGTGCCTAAGGTCACTATGTCTAGGGGTAAAAAGAAGAAAAAAGACTTATATAAGAAGGCAGATGCTGCTGGTGCGACTTCTGATCTTTATATGGCGTACAAAGGTCCAGAGAAGAAGGATGAACTTAGTCAATCAATCGAAACCATTGAACTCACTTCTAAAGATGACTCTATGCCTCCATCTGCCAATGTGCATCAGGAAGATCTTAGATCAACTAAGAAGGTTGGTGAGGTTAAAGCAGAGCCAGATGATTGGGAGGATGCTGCAGATGTATCTACTCCTAAACTAGAAATTGCTCCTGAACATAGAAAGGTTGATGGTGAAGATGGTGATGGTGTGACTACCAAGAAATATTCAAGAGACTTCTTGCTTAAATTTGCAGAGCAATGCATTGATATTCCTGAGGGTTTTAATGTTGCTCCTGATGTTGCGGATATTCTAATTAACTTCAATGCCAGTGCTATGCGTGAGCCATTCCCTAGTCCAGGAAGAGGTACTGATAGGCCGTCCAGCGGACATCGTGAACGTCGCGGAAGTGGCGTTGGGGATGGAGACAAGTGGAATAAGATGCCTGGGCCTCCTATGCCTGGTCGAGATTTTCAGCCAGACATTGGCTTTGGGGGAAATGGTGTGGGGTTCCGACCTGGCCCAGGAGGCAATTCTGGTGTTCTGCGGCACCCGCGAGGTGCAATGCCCATTCAATATGCCATGGGTCAGTATGCTGTGGGTCAGTATGCCATGGGTCAGTTAGCCACTGGGGGAATACTATCTGGACCAATGCAATCCATGGGTCCACCTCAGGGAGGAGGCCTGAGAAATGGAGTTGATGCTGACAGGTGGCAGCGTGGAACTGCTTTCCAAAAGGGTTTAATGCCGTCTCCTCACACACCTGCACAGAATATGCACAAAGCTGAAGTAAAGTATGAAGTAGGTAAAGTAACAGATGAGGAACAAGCCAAGCAGAGACAGCTGAAAGCTATCTTAAATAAGCTTACTCCCCAGAACTTTGACAAATTATTCCAGCAAGTGAAAGAAGTTAATATTGACAATTATGTCACACTCAAAGGTGTAATTTCTCAGATATTTGACAAAGCTTTGATGGAGCCAACTTTTTGTGAGATGTATGCCAATTTTTGTCAACACCTAGCAGCCGAGTTGCCTGATCTGAGTGTAGACAATGAAAAAATCACTTTTAAGAGGTTACTTCTAAACAAATGTCAGGAAGAGTTTGAGAGAGGGGAAAGAGAAGAACTAGAAGCCAATGTAACTAACGAGGAAGGTGAGGTAAAACTGTCAGCAGAGGAGAGGGAGGAGAAAAGAGTGAAAGCACGGAGACGAATGTTGGGCAATATAAGACTGATCGGTGAACTTTATAAGAAGAAAATGTTGACAGAGAGAATTATGCACGAGTGCATCAAGAAGTTGTTAGGTGACTATCAAAATCCCGACGAGGAGAATGTTGAAGCTTTGTGTAAGTTGATGAGTACAATTGGGGAGATGATAGATCATGCCAAAGCAAAGGAACATATGGATGCATACTTTGATATGTTGGAGAAGTTGTCAAATAACATGAAACTTTCTTCTAGGGTGAGGTTCATGTTGAAGGATTCAATTGATCTAAGAAAGAACAAATGGCAGCAAAGGAGAAAAGTTGAAGGGCCTAAGAAGATCGAGGAAGTGCATAGGGATGCTGCCCAAGAACGACATGCACAAGCTACTAGGCTTGCTCGTACTCCTAGTCTGGGAGGTTCTAGTAGAAGGGGTCAACCTATGGATTTTGTTCCCAGAGGAGGGGGTATGTTGTCTTCTCCGGGCTCCCAGATGGGGGGTTTCCGTCCTATGTCTCCACAGGTCCGTGGCTATGGCATGCAGGACGTACGGGTGGATGAGAGGCATTCTTTCGAGAATAGGACATTATCACTTCCCCTGACCCAGAGGCCTCTTGGTGATGATCCGATCACACTTGGACCCCAAGGTGGTCTTGCAAAGGGAATGTCTTCCAGGGGCCAACCTGCTGGACCAAGCATTGATAATATGTCAAGTTTTGGAGACTCTCGAAGGATGGTACATGCCCAAAGTGGCTATGGTTCTTTGTCAGAGCGCCCCCTTTATGGTTTAAGAGAGGAGCTTGCGCCCAAATACATGCCTGAGCGATTATCTAGTCAACATGATCAATCAAGTGCACCAGAAAGGAACGTGACATATGGGAACAAGGAGCGTGGATTTGACACATCTCGGCCTCCTTCTCCACTTGTAAGAAGTGGAGGGGCGACTTCCACACAAAATGTGGCTCCTGACAGGATCTGGCCAGAAGAACGTCTGCTGGAAATGTCTATGGCTGCTATCAAGGAATTCTACAGGTACTTCTGAACTGATTATTATTTACTTGCATTTTATGTGTTGGTCTGACTATGGTTTATGTGCTCTGCACAAATTACTTTAAATATGTTGGTTTATCTACTTCAAAATAAGTACCCATTCTGGAACTGTTTTCAGAAAGTTGCTTCTGATATAAGAAGATTTTGGTTCAACACTTGGCTGACTTATTCACGGTATCATCAGGAATGTCTAAACTTTTAGGAAGCATAAGCTTATGATATGGTTCGGCAATTATAGATCTTGATAATACCTCTTCCAAAGAAGATGTTTACTAGTCTTTTTCTTTTGTGGGGTCTCACTACCCATGAAAGAAGCCTTTTTCCAACCAAAAAGGAGAAGTTTAAATTTGGAATTCAGCGAGGAACATTAACTTTCAAGTATATCTCAATAGTATCTGCAGTAATAGCATAGAAAGCCCGTTATGATCATATTTTAGGTTTGTATGCCTCCTTGGGAAGTTTGAAGCACAAGGTACCTTGTTATTTTGTTATCTGAGGATGGTTTAGTAGGAGAATTTTCTCACTGTATGTTTCAGAACGCGTGTCTCCCCAGTATCCAATTTTTCTGTCTCCTATTGCAACCAAGAAAATTATAATTTCTAATTTCTAGTAATGAAGATCACATAAGCATAGGTTCTTTTAGCATCTGTCATCTTAAACTTCATCTATAGTAGCAAAGTTGAATCCTCCTTGTACCCTAGTCATGAACCATAGAAGCATTCTATGCAATTTATTTTTGGTACATAATTTTGCTAAAGCGTATTGCGACTTAATTGAGTTTATTATTAATTAAATTAAAACCTTTTCATTTCAGTGCGAAAGATGAGAAAGAGGTTGCTTTGTGTGTGAAAGACCTGAATTCACCTGGCTTCTATCCATCAATGATCTCACTTTGGGTTACTGACTCCTTCGAGAGGAAGGATATGGAAAGGGATCTTTTGGCAAAGCTTATAATTGGTCTAACTCTTTCTCGAGACGTGGCAATAAGTCAAGATCAGTTAATTAAAGGGTATGGAGTTGTGCTTTTTCCTATTAATAAAAATTAGAATGCAAGCTCTTAAATCACTTGGATTTTGTGTTCAACTTTATGTTTTTGTTTACTCTTTCAGGTTTGAAAATGTTCTGACTAGCTTGGAGGATGCAGTAAATGATGCCCCTAGAGCAGCCGAATTTCTTGGTCGCATCTTTGGGAAGGTAATATCGGAAAATGTGATACCGTTCAATGAAATAGGGAGTTTGATATACAAAGGCGGAGAAGAGGAAGGACGGCTTGTGGAAATAGGGCTTGCTGCTGAAGTTCTTGGGAGCACATTGGAGATGATAAAGGTCGAGCAAGGTGATTCTGCAGTTTCGGAGATTTGCAGAAGCTCTACTATGCGGCTTGAGAACTTTCGGCCTCAAGGTTCAAAGAAGCAATGGAAGCTAGACAAATTTATTTAGGGTTTTAATAGGTGGGGGAAGGAATTGTATCTTGGTAGAGATTCATGTCTAGTTTTAGGCCACATTTTAATTTTGCAGATATATATTTAAATGGTGATCAATATAAGGGTTTCATGTCTTTTTTTCTTTTCTTTTTTCGGAACTGCAGTAGCAAATAGGATCAACTCAAGTGTTTTTTTAATACCATCATTATAAAATTATAATTTTTTAAGAAGAAAAGCATAGGACATGTTATGGAAAACTTTTTACCAATCTGCATATAAAAATGTAGATCTGAGTTATCATATTATTTGCCTGTTTTTTCATTCGAATTCTTCCATTTTTTAATGGAAACGGTTTTATAAAAAAACGCAAACATTATTTTTTCCTGATTAAATCAGCTATGTCTCATTTTTCAAAAGTTAATAACTTTTCAAAGTAAAATCTCATAAAGAGATTAACTAAATATTTCAAAAATTAAAAAATACTATTCATTATGATTCTTCTCAAAAATATTATTTTACATAATTTGACAATTGACAAAAAGTAGTTTCCCTCCTGGGAAATTGGAAACAATCAGATTGTCAGCAACACCAAAGACAAGAGGTTAGAGAATCAAAAAGATGGGATCACACATATTCTAGTCCGTTTGGAATCTCAAAACCTTAATAATTATACTCTTATTTATATCTCGTTTTTACTAGAAATATAGGTTTCTTTAGTTCTTTTCATCTTATAAATCAATGATACTTTTCTTTTTATTTTACCTTTTAACCTTGAAAAAAATATACATTTGATTAACAAAGAAAAATTAAGTAAATAATTCGTGTTTATTGATCAAATTAATTAATTGCAAAATAAATTGATTCATGTTCATTAATCAAAAATTTGACTTTAAGAGAACACTAAATAAGGGAACATTGATAAACTTACCTAGTTTATTAAGAAACATAAATTGTATAATAGTGAATGGTGATAACTAAATAGAAACAGAAGGAGTATTTCAGTCTCTTCAAATTATCTATCGCGATTTTCATTTACATATTTATAAATAAAATGTCAATTTTGAAAGATTGACTATTTTATACTTATCTATGTCTTAATATATACTTTTTTTCACTAAATATTTACTTTATTTATGTATCATCACTAAAGATAGACATAATACGATAAATAAGGAATTATCATATATATATATATATAAAGATTTTTTTTTTTATACCACGATTTCAATGTTGTGATGTTTGTTATGCATTTTATCTTTTATTTTATAATTGGGATTTTAATGTACCACTCTATTTTGATTGATATATCCTTTTTGAGTAGTTGATTTACAAAAGAATTAAAATCATTTTTATATGCGTAAGATATTAATATGATATAATTGAAACTTTTCATTTTAAAAAAAGTTTAAGTCATAATTCTTTATTATATGAGTATTTGTAAGTTAAAAAATCAAATAAATTACTATTATTATCAATTTACGGTACCACAAAATACAGAAAACAAACTTCAAAATACCAATTAATTTGGTATTAATAATGATAAAGTATTTTTAAAAATCAAAATAACTGAACCAAGGTTATCTTTTCCCCAAATTACTTGAAACCATTTCACATACATGAATTAAAAAAAGATAATGCCATTGCTGAAGTACCTTCTCAACCTCTGCCTGAAATCTTAAAGACACACTTATACTATATTAAAGTCCTATTACTCTCCTTAATTTATTTTATTAATGATTTTTTAGTCTTTTTTGGCCTACGTGGTACTATCTTGTGGGTCTAATGCTGATTGACTTTTTTTTCAAGCTAGTGCCACGTAGAAAGGGATAAAAAATTACTTATAAACTAAGTTCAGACGTAATAGAACCTTAACATAATATAAATGTGTCTCTGAGATTTCGAGTATAGGTTGAGAAAATACTTAAGCATTTTTCCATTAAAAAACAAGAGGGCTTGAACTACACGGATTTCAATATCATATCATACTACATAATTCAAATATTTGTAGTATTTAAAAGAATTACTATGAAGATTAAATTTAATTTTATCATAAATATTTTAAAATAATAAATAATTTAAGATAATTATTTTACCAAATCATAACAGATAATTTAAAGTATAGTATTAACTTACGATGCTTTGTATTTGCATTAAGGTAGGCAGAAGACAAGGGAGTCTTCACCTCATTATTACATGCAAATTTTGTATTAATTAATTATTAATTAATTATAAAATTCGTAATTAGTAGGGATCCAACATAGGATTTGTCAAAATGTCTTGAGGCCAAGAATCTCTCATTTCCAATCTTGATTTAGCGTATCCTTCTTTTCGTTCTCCAAATGCCACCTACTTAAAAAGGTGTGTTTTTTTTTTTAAGAAAAATGTTTTTCATAGAAAATAATTTTTTAAAAATAGTGAATATCTAACTTATTTTTTAAGCGTGTGATAAGTAATTAATAAAATATTATTTTAAAAATATTGATATATTATGTGATAAAATGTTATAAAAGTGATAGGGTGTTTGGGGGTTCGATGGTGGTGAGGGATACGATAGTCAAGGGGCAACTCATACATCTAATTTATTTTTCTTATTTTTATTAGAAAAGTCGTTCTTTTTTTATTTTGAAAAGAATTATTTCCGAAGAAAAAATATTTAGAATCAAATATAAAAAAGTTAAAATAAAATATTTCCTCTTTATCAAACATACCCTAAGAGTATTTAATTAAGTTATATATTGAGCGGCCGTTGGTTTGCATATTATATCATTTTTGAAATTATAAGTTTCATCTGGGAAGTGGGATAAAACAATCAATTATCATTTTTTACCTAAAATTATTTTTTATTATTTATTTATAAATAAATGGAAAATTGTATAAAAACAAATTAAGTCAGAAAGTGTAGCAGACATATGATGACAAAACTTATATTAGTTAGTACTAATTCAAAGACTAATTAAGGTTGAAAACCAAAATCAGATGACTTCTTATAATAATAAAAAAAATATTTGACGAAAATTATGACCTAAAGGGATCCTCTTTTAACAAACAACCAGTATTTTAGTGGTTCTAATAATTGTTGATTTTAAAACCATATATTATATATTAATTTTATTGTTTAAGCTAAAAGTTTCTTTAATTGGATTATCTAGTATTTCATTTATTTATTTACAAGTTCCATAATCATGAACACAAAGATTATTTCATCTAATAGACAGGTGGCAAAAGTTAATGATGGCCAATTAGTCTTAGATGTGAAGTCACGTTCTAGTGATCTACACTAATTATAATTACTCCTAATCTCATAAATATTTTATACACTATTTCGTTAATTTTATTTATCATACGTTAAATTTAATATTTTTTCAGTGATATGATAGTATAAACGCTTCAAATTTAACTAAACATAATATGTAATGCATCAGCATGTGAAGTCATATATTAATGATGATTAAGTCAAATATTAGGAAACTTCCTTTTTTTTTAATTTACTAAATATTCGTAACGAAAATATTATTTTAAATTGAGAATTCAATCAACGACATGGACCAAATAATGTTTGACAACATTAAAAGCACATTATATTCCTTTTTAAAAAAAATTTGGATTTTGGCAGACACGAATTGGAAGACTTCTACTCCATATCTACACGTTAAGTTTAATTAAACAGTTGCATTAAATCATTACTAGTAAATATTGATTTTTTTTTTCTTAATGCAAATATGAAATCTGCTAAAAAAAGTTTCATATTGTGAACCTATAAAAATTAACATGTTAGGTTTTAAAAGGGGTGTTAGAAAAATTAAATATCTTCTTCGAAAGTATATTTAGAGAAAAAATGTAGTTTGAATAACACATTTTTTATATCGAATGATTATAATGAGTTGAAATTTTTCTGATAACAATAACCACATGCTTATACTATCTTTGTTAGCTATAAATAATGGTATATTTTCTCATTTTTCAAATACACTTTACTTTTCTTCTTGGACTTTTAAAAAAAATCGTGTGATTTATTATCGTCGAGTGAGTTCATTGTTTACTGAAGTTTGTGATACTACTATATCGGTGAGTAAATCATTCTATTATGAAAGGATATATTTCATCACCTTAAATATATTGAGGAATATAATTTTCTTAAAGACAGATTGTAAATTCAGTTCAGTCGATTCTTCTTTTTTTTTTCTGGTTGCTTACTATTTTGCTGATCTTTAAAATTCAAATTGATATTACTTTATAAGTTAGTTCCATCAGTGAGAATGAGAGAGTAAAAAAAAAGATTCTTTCACTTTTTATGCACATCAAAAACAATGTAAAAATTTGAAATTACGCATAATACATATATTAAATTTTAAATTTTAATTTTAACTTCCAATTTTCATTATACACAAACATGTTTAACTTTCCAATTTAAATAAACACACATGACAAAATACATGTAGGATATCACGTTGGACAAAAAATGACATTTAGGACATGTATGTCTATTTGTTCAATTTTATACAAATTTAATTGTCTACTTGTGCGCACCCAAAGTTAAAAAACATAAATATAATTCGAAATCAAGTTAAAAAGTATATTTATATATTATGCCTTGAAATTAGTAAAGGTTTAGCAGAATTTATCTATTTAATTAACATGATTGAAAAAATGTTAGCCTATATTAAAAAAATTATCCCATTAATAATCTTATATTATTTTACCTACCAGATAAATTGACAGGACATTGAAGGGGACATTAATTAAACAAAACTTAAATAGTAGTGTACTTTAATTGCCCTCTTTAATAGGATATCAAAAGTCAAAACTTTAACCTAACTAACAAAAATTGATCAAATCGATACTTCTCCGTCTCATATTGTTTGTTATGATTTCTATTTATAGTGTCAAATTATAAAATTTTTGACTAATATTATAAGATGTATTTTTTCATCATATTAATATAAAAAGAACTTGCAATTTATAATACTTTTCATATAATTTTAGAATATCTAATTTTTTGTTTAATATATCAAATTAATATGATCTAATTTAACTTTAAAAATTAGTCAAATTCACTTTCGAAAAGTATAACATGACAAATAATACCGAACGGAGAGGGTATTTAGTTAAGTCACATTCTTATCAGTTCATGTATTTCTTTTTAAACGATCGAAATATTTATTGTAATTATCAAAATGTGGATACCCTTAATAAATTATTTGATTTTGATGTTACTTTTTATTTAAATTATTAAATGAAATTGTAATAATATTAATCTTTGCTGACGATTTAAAAATGTTAAATACTAATTCCAACAGCAACATTCTTCTAGTAATCCAGTTTTATAGTTCACGCGTAAATTTTAATATATAGATGTACAAATGAAAATATAAACTTATCGAGAGTTGATTATATATAATTTTTTTTAAAAAAAAACTAGAATAGTTCAAAAGCACTAAATTAAGAAAGACAAGTATTTCATTTTTTATTTTTTTTTATCATTTCTATAGTTAAGATTTTCTTTTTTGATTTGCTAAGTCCACAATAGATTTTAAATATAATTTAAAACATATTCCCATTAACTATTATCTGAATTATTATTTTATTATACATATTTCCGCTTCAATGTAAGTTCACTTCCACCAAACATCAAAAACAACAAAAGTGCTTTTTATGTAATGGTTGGTATTTATATTAGACTTCCAATTAATATTATTTTTATTAAAGATATATGAAATCTATTTAAAAAGTTAAACACTCTTTAATAAAATCTTTTTTTTTTAATTTAACATTCAAACTCAAATTCTTTTTAGTGTGAATCGATCAATTCTATTTATTTTATCATAATTTTTTTTAATAAGTGAATAAATTTAAATTGACAATTATTGATATGCCATAACTGGAAAATAAAAGAAGAAAGATCCAAAACTTCAAACCCATATCTTACAAAAACTCCAAAAAGGTCCTAATCTTCTGGTTAGATTGACCATATGTATTAAGTAATTCATAATTATTTAATAGATTAATATAATAATATATAATTTATAACTTAAAAAATCTATATAATTAATATTTTATATGGATATAACTCTAACCAGTTACCGAATGGTTCCATTACACTCTTATGAGGAAAAAGACAGAATCCTATATATATAGTGACATAGTTGTCAAAACTGAGAAAAGGGTACTTATCAATTTCCCTCAACTCTCTCTTGAAGAAGAGAGAGAGACATGAGAGGAAGCATCCAAATAATAATAATTTTAAAAAAAAAAAGAGTGTCTTTGGTCGAAGAAAGAATTGTTAACCAAATCCAAAGGGAGTTGAAGAAACCCCAAGATTTAGAATACTCTATTGACTTTGAAGAAAATCAAAAGCCAGTTTGAACTTGTATAATTTACATGGTGAACCTTAATTCCTTCTCTTCTTACACCAACTTGAAAAGCTCTTACTTTTTCTTCTCATAAGAAGGGTCTAAAGGGTTGAACAAAATCAGGACCCCATCTTCTCTCTCTTTTTTTTTTATTTGAATCATAAACCAACCAAGAAAACCCCATTTCCTATCTGGGTAATTATTTTATCCTTGTTTTATATCAATTTTTCATTTTGGGTACTTAGATTTTTGGTTAAAAATCTGTTCTTGATGTAGTTCTTGCTAATGTTTGTGGTTTTCTGCAGGAGTTTAGTGGCTGTTCATTGACTGTGGGAGTTTAAAAAATTGAATCTTGGAAATTCTGTGAAGAGGGGGAAAATGAAGTGTTTTTTTTACTTCAAGGAGAGGAATAGAAATAGGGAAAGAAAATCAGCACCAGTGATACTTCAAGATCAGAGTAAATCAGATATTTCAGGTGGTGCAGAAAGGGTAACTAAGTCTTCATGTTCAACTTCTTCTGCGCGTAGCTTCTCTGATGTGTATGAAGGGAAAGGTCAGAATTTGAGGGTATTCACATTCCCTGAGCTTAAACAAGCAACTAATAATTTTAATAGGTTACTTAAGATTGGTGAAGGAGGTTTTGGATGTGTATACAAAGGTAATATTAAGCCTGCTGATGGAAAAGGTGAATCAATTATTGTTGCCATTAAAAAACTCAATAGAGATGGTTATCAGGTAAGTTTTTTTTTTTTGAGTATGGTCCATTATGTGTAACTGATCTTGGAATTTGAGTTTAGTTTGACTGGTAACTGAAATGTGAATACACACACATGTGATTTGAGTGTGGCCTTATCTGTTAAATTGTTGTTATCTGTGGAGCAGCTTTGTCTGGTAATGGAGCATTACTCATATCATCATTCATTGTTGTTTTTTCTGTTTTTTGTTGCTATGTTAGTGAAGGAGTATGATACTTACATTACAAATCTTTGGCTTCTTTTTTTGGGTAGGTGTGTGTAATCTTTCATCTTTAGTAAAAAGATCAAAGTATTGATGCCCTTGAAATTCACTTGTGTCTACATCATCGTAGGATTATTCAGGAGAATGTACGCGGTATATGTGTGTATCTTGCTTGTGGAAGAATGGAATATAGTCAACTTTGTTCCATTTACATTTCTGTTTGCTCCTTGCTTTTTGCTATACATATACTATTTCCAACTCACTTTTTGCTATCTTAGGTTCCGGTTGATCATGTAATTGCTGCCCAAATGTGGATCATTTCTATATGACTAGCAGTTCTGTAGAAACTTGATTTGATTGTCTGAGAAGCTCCCCGTTTAAGTTAAAATTTGTTAAACAGAAAATAAATGTCCGTAAAGTATAATGAGCACCATGAAAACGTTGGCAATTTTTGTACTTTCTTTTCGTTGGTTGGAAGTTCTGGTTTTCAGCATTACTTGGCAGCAAGTTATGGTTGACGTGTCTCGCTTCTCCAGATTTTGCAAACTTAAATCTGTAGTCTTTTGTTTTCGAAGCTAAATAAACTTAAGTTGTTTATCTAGTTGTAAGCTGTAGTATTGTTTTGATCCTCTAATTTTTTATGTAGGGTCATAAACAATGGGTAGCAGAAGTGCAATTTCTGGGGGTGGTAGATCACCCAAATCTCGTCAAACTAATTGGATATTGTGCTGTTGATGGGGAAAGAGGTATTCAGAGGCTACTCGTGTATGAATTCATGTCAAATAGAAGTCTAGAAGATCATCTTTTCAATACAGCATTTCCAGTTCTTTCTTGGCAAAGAAGACTGCAAATGGCGCTTGGAGCAGCTCAGGGTCTGGCTTATTTGCATGAAGAATTGGAAGTTCAGGTATTTTGTCCAAATTTATCATTAATATAATTACAAGTGTGTGAACTCTTAGTTGGATTTCTATTTTCTTCAATGTATAACCCAAGTGTGAAGTATTGCTTGAGCTGAAGGTATATAATCATTGATATGGCTTCACCTTTGTGGCCTAAAAATGTTTAAGCTGAGTTTTTCGATGTGTTTTTTATTTATTTTCCTGATTTTTTTGACAGCGGAGTGTCTCTGTTTCAACTTTAAATTCTATCTATAAATTATCGCAATGTTTTTATTCAAGACCATTTCAAATTAAAACGTCATCTGCATTGACATCTTTACTGTATATTTGTTCTTTTGACCTTTTGTCAAACATGCAGAAAACTTGTATATGCCGATTCACCACTGAAGTGGTACAATACTGCTATTCTTAATGTGCTAAATGTTAAGTGTTCTTTCTTCTGTCAACTGTATAGGTGATATATCGTGATTTCAAGTCATCAAATGTGCTATTAGATGATGACTTCAAGCCAAAGCTTTCAGACTTTGGGCTCGCGAGAGAGGGTCCAACTGGCATGCACACACATGTTTCCACAGCGGTATGTTACGTTGATCCTTGCTCAAATACATGGTTTACATTATTGAGAAAATGAAACACAAGTTATTTTTTATTTTTTAACTTTTTTGGAAACATCTCAATGGCAAATGATCTTAAAGACAAGCTTTTGTGACCAGGTTGTGGGGACATGGGGGTATGCAGCACCTGATTACATAGAAACAGGACATCTCACAGCTAAGAGTGATGTGTGGAGTTTTGGTGTTGTATTATATGAGATCCTAACCGGTCGACGGTCCCTAGAAAGGAACAGACCAAAATCAGAACATAAACTTCTGGATTGGATTAAACGTTACCCTGCTGATGGCAAGAAATTCGGTATGCTCATGGATCCAAGGCTGGAAAATCAGTATTCCATCAGTGCAGCTCGAAAGATGGCAAAGTTAGCTGACACCTGTTTGTTAAAATCTGCTAAAGATCGACCCAAGATGAGTCAGGTAGTAGAAACTCTGAAGCAGATCATTCAGATTTCTGGCGAAAATAGTTCCTCCACAGACACAAGTTTTCAAGGTGTTGACGATGTTCCTGTTGTAGAGGAAAAGCCAAAGCAGATGGGAGCCACAGAATCAGCGAAAAGACGAATGGCTCACTTGGCTAAACTTAGTGAACATGTTGGTGGAATAAGCAGAAGAAGATTCCTGATCATGCAGAAGGGTAAAACTACATAAAATAAGTTGAATTTTTTCCTGCATATCAGATATCAATCAAATATGTAGAGAATTCTGGTTTTACTGAATGTGAGTGAAATATAGTAAGTACTAATTAGCTTAGTGTGTAAATGAGGCATTGACATTTCGACTCATTAGTGGCTATAACTAGAGGCAACAATCTGTAGCATTGAGTTTTTCTATGCCTTTGGGGTGAGTAGATATGAGAATATTCTCATTATTGTGGTGGCTATGCTATGCTCAAATTTCCATGATAATATTCTTATTTTTTTCACTCAACGTCAACAGAGATTATACTACTGCTTTTTATTTAACCATGTCATGTGGTATATTTGACGAATATAGTTTCAATAGACCAAATATAGATCTACCAACTATACACGCTGTGTTGACTGCTTACAGAAATCAATGCATTGAACTTGTTGATTTTCTCCTTTTTATTGTTTGTGCTAGGAACTGCAAGTTTATTTCATGTACACTACAAAATAAAAAGAAAAAAGGTAAGGAAGAAGATTATGAAAAGAGGGAGGAGAGGATTAAAAACTAACTTCATACAAATAAGCAAGGACTGTTGTTGATCAATTATGCGACTCTTTTTCTTTTAATACATAAGGGTGTCGGGGCTGGGGAAGGGGAAAAGAGTAGTGGGGATCGAACCCACACCTATTGTGTGGAGACTTACTGATACTACTCGGGCTATATACTTTCCAGCTTCCTCCAAAGTCCAGAACAGCTTCTATTTTCGGCATAGCCATGATACTGCACAAGGAACAAGAACTTTGTCCAGCCATTCCAACAGTCTCCAGATCAAAGGACCATAATGGCACTGATCACCAGTAGTTTGGACAAAGCACTTCGCACATCCTGCAATGTGAAAAATTGATTGCAGAATTCATCAAGATAAAGCAGCAATAAAAGGATAAGAAAAGGGAGGAGGGGTGGGGTAGTCGGGAGCTTCATCATGAAGGAAGAGAGTCATGCCAAGCTACAAGGATTACATTAAAACGGCTTGCAAAGGTGAAAATGCTAGTTTCTATAGGGTTTATCGGTCTCTTCTGAAATAAATCCATAAAATAGATGCCAAGCTGCAAGTCCTTAGGGCACACTATATGAGCAGCAGCTGACGAGGAGTCTTGGAAGCATCGATATTGACCAGTCGTTTAATCATGTTATCGATAAAGAGCAATATCAAACAGGACTTGTTCGCATTTTAATGTAACTATATTCCATATGCATGCCGTTTGATGTTGCTAGACAACCCCTGGATATCATTGTTAACAAACATCAACTACTTTCTAACAAAAGCTTCAAGCTTTCTACTCATGCATTCACCTTTGAGGGAGAAACAGGATTAGGAAAAGTATCGTTCATCTTCTTGTATGTTCAATGGGAATAAAAGTAACATTGTTAACATGAGACTTCTTCAGCCATTAATGAAATTCGGACATATCGTAAATCTTGATTAAGAGACATGGATAAAGACAAACCTAAATCAATTTTTTTCAAAAAGCTCAAAAGTAAGAAGGATTGGTAGCATAATGCAAGGATGACGTTTAACTTCCTGACAGTAAATCCTTGAAGAGAGAAGGAAACACAATGTTGGACCTGAACTCATTTGCAGAGACACAGACTATGGAAGTTGCATACACAGTTATACTAGATGAAGATATGTTTAAAAAATAAACTTACCAGCTCCATCATTGTTGGGAGGTTTACAAACATCAACAACAACAAATTCCAGGCTAGTTGGGTCTGCATATGAATCCCAATCATTCATTTCGCGCTGTTTGGACCAGGTCTGCAAAAATTTCAATGGTAAGATCGACAGAAGTTGGCACAACCTTTCATGATTGACAGCAGCTACCAAACCTTTTTTGATTGATACCAGTTGGTAAAACCTTACAATAACAAATTCAAGATCCTCGGAAATCTACTGCTGTCGCTGTGTTTCCCATAACGCAGCTCTTGATATTTTATCATTCTTCATAATAGTTCCTTTTCAGAATAAAATCTTTAGGCACATCCAGAACAAGCAATAATTTACTTTCGATAACCTTCATTATCAACTCAAGAAAACTTCAGGGAAATTCTGTACATAGAGCAGCATCTAAGTCTCTTCTCCCGCAGGTGCACAGAGGAGTGATAGAGGAGTCATCACAGAATCTTTTTCAAGCAGTCCTCTGGGCACAATTTGGATCTCCAAACTGAAAGAAAATCAAGTATCAGGTTCAACATCTTATTTTAGGATAAATAGTCAATCAGATTCGACACAACCAAGTGGATAAATTATAAGCAAGAAATCAATCATGTTTGTCAATTGAAAATTGAGCGATACAGATGCCAGAATACCATCACTGGCTACTTGGGATTTTTGGTGAGAGTGGAAAGTTTCTTGCAAAAAGCAGGCTTTAGGAAGTGAAGAAAGGAGTAGACTTCAGGAGAAGCGCAGTATTGAGGGATTATCACAGTTTAGAAGACAATACTAGCAAAAAGTAGGCGTCAGAAATCATGGAAGTCAGAGTGCCAGATGTTGATTCCTGAAAGAATGTTTTCTAGATTAATGATTAAGCACAAATTCATAGCTGATTCTAACCCCTCTAACAAAACTCTTTTCATAAATCTAAAACTTTTAACAATAAACAAGCAATGGCCAATGCAAATCTTACCTTCAAAGTACCAAGATTATCAAAATTCTATATAAATATACGGTACATAACAAATGCTTGGTTGAACAGACATAAGGCAGTATGACTCAAATTTTCCATCAGCCAGAAAGATGCAACAATACTGCTTGGACGAAGGGAGGCAAGGCAGTCTGACTCAACTTTCTGTCTGCTAGAAAAATAGGTGCTTCAAAAAAGTGAAGACCATGTATGGTTGCTGAACAATACATTTTATTTTCTTTACAATAGCGCTATTCATGTCCGCTGCTATTTACCTACCCATTTCTAGTTGACCCCATAAGCCATCTCACAAAACCTGTCCAGATTCCTGCATCAATTATTTCCCGAGTTTATCTAGTTCAGAACAATTTCATGGGTTCAACAGGAGAAAGCATCTTCTCCTGTACTAAGAAGCTCAAATTCAAGAAATATCTATAAGGTTAATCAAACTGAAAACAGAAGAACAGAAGTCTGTAGGAAGTGCACATGAAAATCATATAAAAGGGGAAGTATACTATACTAAGTATAAGGTATATACCAGCATTCATAAATATTGCAACTTGCCATAGCAACTGCAGCTTCATGACGCAATTACCAACTTCAATGTTGGGAAGCATCTCCGGTTAAAAGAAATTCAAGCTTCTTCAGCATTTGAAAACTTTACTGAAGCTACATTGGTTGTTTCAGTTGGTTTTTCTGTTTTCATTTCCACAAGAATTTCCGGGCTGGTAGTCATTCAGTTTCTTGCTCTTTCATCAGATTGCTAAACAGTAGCCTTATTGACTAACTTGAAGGACCCACAAGGTCCATCTTCAACTAGTTCGAAAGAGCTGTCATTATTATCACTATAAGCCCTACTTCTACGTATGTGGTCGTAGGTAATGTACATGAGGAAGTCTAGAAAAAGACTCTTCTCTGTTGTTTCTGTACAATAATCTGTGTTTTCTTGTATACAATGAGAAGATTTGTCCAATATTTTATGTGTTATTTCGTCAAACTCAAATCCAATTTCGCTCAACTTCTGCCCCCAAACCAACGCACGCTGAGGTAGTCCCTGCTTCCATAGATGAGAAAGTAGTAAATTAGCTGTAACAGTATTTGGAATGAACGCCATCTTAAGCAACTTTGCAGCCAAAATCATTGCACGGTCCAATATGTCATTGCAAGCACTATTCATCATAATGTTGTATGTAACAGTATTTGGCACCACACCAGCAGATACAAGCTCATCCAGAATCATAACAGCTTGATTTATCCTCCTAGTACTACAGAAACTATGAATCCTTATATTGTAGGTTGTGATGTCAGGTTCCCATCCACTGGCATACATTCTTGTCATAAAGTTATCTGCATTAACCACATCGAATGCCTTACAGAATCCATTGATCAAGGTGTTATACGTAGCAATATCAGGCTGTAAACCACTTCGATGCATTTCCACGAAACAATCAGTAGCAAGTTTCATCCTTCCCTGTTTGCAGAAACCATTAATGATGGTATTAATTGTAAAGATATCTGGGAGAAGACCCCTTTCCCTCATGTCCCTTTCTAATTTCTGAGCCTCATTCATATTTCCGCTATAACAAAAACCAGTAATTAGCGAATTATAAACAAAATTATTTGGTACAAGTCCTTTCCTAATCATCTGAAGAAAGGCATCATAAGCGTCTCCAACAGAGCCAGCTTTGACAAGCCCATCTATTAATGCAGAAAAAGCAACAGCATCAGGTGCGATTCCCATCTTTTCCATCTCTTCCCACAATGTTCTAGCTCCCATTACATCCCCTTTCTTAAAATAACCATCCAGAAGCACAGTGCAAGCAGTTATGTTAATAGGGAAGGACATTGTAATCATCTTAGCCATTAAATCTCTTGCTTCTTGCAGCCTCCCCGTCATTGACAAGCTGAGGAGCAGAGAAGCACATGTCAAAGCTGAAGGAGACTGACCAAATTGAACCATAATATTATAGACTTCAAATGCCTTTTCTTCTAACCCTTCTTTGCTGTATGCAGCAATAATGGAATTAAAAGCTATTACACTAACAGGTATCCCCTTTTCTAGCAGATTATCCAACAATGTCACAGCCTCATTTAACCTTCCTACCCAACACAACCCTGCAATAGATACATCAGATGATAAATAATCTGAAGAAAGTCCCCCCACTGTTAGATCCCATAATAACCGGTCACCGTCCTCTTCCCTACCATACTTATAGTGACCTGCCACCAAAATGTTAAAAGTTATAGCATCTGGAGCTACACCCTTCCTTTTCATTTCTTCATATAGCATACTTGCTTGAAAAATATCCCGAGCTTTGACATAGCCATCCATCAGAGCGTTATACGTGACAGTGCTAGGAAAGACACCCACATCTTGCATTCCATCAAACAATTTTCTGGCTTCCACCACATTCCCTTCCTTACATAGAGCACTGATAACTGTAGTAAAGGTAGAGATACTAGGATGACATCCATGTTCGACCATCATATGCACCCATTCCAATGCATCTGAAGTCCATCCCCTGGTACAGTAAGCATTGATCAAAATATTATATGTAAAAACATCTGGCTCACATCCAAACTTCCGCATCAGATGAAACAAACTTTCTCCTGTCTGAAGCCTACCTTTTCTACAATATCCAAGAATCATTGCATTAAAGAGAGCGTCAGTAGGACGAGGCCCTTTTTGCAACATGTCCCGAAATAACTTCCAGACACTACCATAATCACCGATCCTAAGCAACAACTTAAATAGGATGCAGACAGCAGATGAACTCGGCCTCAACCCATTGTCTCTCATCTTACTCCAAATCTCTAATGCACCCGAAACCATTTCTGCGGTTAAAAAAGCCCGCATTAATGAATCAAGAACAGAAAATTCACTCTCATACTTATAATGCTCCCTCCACATGAACTCCACCACTTCATCACTCCTACATTTTCCAACCTTCCTAATGATCCAAGAAAGCATATCCTGTGCCAATAGCCTCAACTCCTCAGCAGCCAAAACATGCGCACTAATACAACATGACTTCAGAGTATTCTCAGAATAATCTTGAAGAACGTACTTAAAAAATGCAAATGCGACTTCTCTATCATCAAACAACTTCATAATTTTTACCAAAAATGATGGGCAAAAATCTCTTGAAAATGCTTCCAAAAGCCAACCGTTTTCATCTTTTATCATTCTTGACAACCCCACAATAATTTTACGCTTCTCATTTGAGGTAATGACAGTGTAAGTACAAGATTTTGCTAAATTTTTAAAAGGGGTAAATTGCTCAAGAAAATCATACCCTTTTACAAACACTAATGATTTTGAACTACAATATGAGCTATCAGTAGAAAACCTGGAAACTTTAGGGTTTATGGTTTTGTGGGGTGGAGTGAGGGAGTGTAAGACTAACAATTGTGAAGTGTACAATGATGTCCGAAACAGGGGGAAATGACCTACCTTAAAATTGATGCGCATAAGGCGCAAGGTAGCACACATCCGGGAATTCGCCAGAGAAGTCGTCGGCGAAGATTTTTCCGGCGAGCCGAACAAAGCTCTTGAAGTTTTTTCTGTGAACGGGCCAGCAAAATCTCGAGTGACTCATGTCCATGACTAAAATGTCAACATTGGGCTTTTTCAATTTTCAGATGGGCCAACCCAACAAAAAGTTGGGCTTTCCTGCCAACATTCAAAGCCCAACTTACTCCCCCCCTCTCTCGCTCTCGTGCGCGCCCTCTCCTCTCTACGTTTTTCTCTCCTGTTAATAACTAGAAATACATTCAAATTTGTTGCGTATCAATTGTATTCAATTAAATATAGGTGAGAATTTTATGATTTGTTTTAATTGTATATGAAAAACTTTATTTTATTTTTTTGTATCAATTGTATTCATATTCATACGAATACAATATGCATTCATCCTTTTTGTCAAATGTATTTGTATCCAATCAAACACAGGATGAATAAAGTTTTGTTCGTTAATCATACAAAATAAATGAAGAATACAATGCAAAATAAATATAAAACACAATTTTGTTGTATTTCGTATATAATTGATATAGAATACAATGCAAAAAAAAAATACAAAATACAACTGATAAACTTACTATATTTATAATTATTTTAGTAATAAATATATCAATTTAATAATAATAAATAACTAAGGGAATAAAATAGTGGCAGTGGCCAGTGCTACTAGCAATTGGGCTGATCAAGATTTTGGACAGGCTCATTCATGGTGAAGATAAATAGTGGTTGCGTAGTGAAAGTCAATATTTAATTTATTTTATTTTGTTTATCGAGTTTAACTTGATGTAATATTTTAAAATATAAAGAAGATTTTCAAATCTTTTGGTTATATACTAAAAATATATTGAATGTACGAAAATATTTTTTTAATCTCGTTCCGTTGAATAATAGTCGTCGAACAATACTTGTTCAACTTAGAAATCAAGACATAATTTACATTTTGTGTCTATTTATCATGTTAAATATTATTTATCATTTGACACATTTCTCAAATCAGTAAATTTAATAAAGTCAAAGGATAATATAGTAATGTTACCCTTATTATTTATTATTTGATAAGGAGCGTCTCAAATTAACAATGAACAACTATTATTTGACAGACTGAATATAAAAAAAAAGAAGTAATAACAACGGTGATAGGTTTTATAGGATGGTGGTTGATTTGGGCGATGATAGCAATAGTAATGAATGCAATAGCAGTACTTGAATCTTTAAGAGAGCGTTTCAATAATTTTAAAAATCCCTACGAAATCTAATTAATTCAAATCTATTTAAAAACAATAATTGGTCCTTGTTTTTACAAATATACGCAGTGGGTTAACATCTAATAATTCAAATTTCGACCTTTTATAAATGCAAATAAATTGAGCCTTAATATGTCAACATGATGTGGCTGTTGTATTTATAGTTTATACATTTTGTCAACTATCTTCTGGTGTTTGCTTGACTTTACTTTTCTTCCCTTTGAAAATTAGAATTTTTATCATTTTAAGAATATTATTTTTAATATCTCATAAATAATAACCGGTAAAATACTCTACCTAGTTTATTAATAAAATATAAGACACATTACACATCTCAATATTAATTAGGTATAAGACATAGCACTTATTGGATACAAAAATACAATTGAGTACTTATATACATATTTCCATATTGGTCGGCAATTATTTCCTTATTATATTCAACAGCCAGCAGTTAGGTTTACATTAGTATAATATTTGACAGGTGATGCCCATAGATTCAGTTTGAGCTCGAGTCAAAATTTAAAATTTATTAGTAGTACAATAGCGATATAAATGTAAGTTATATAGTTAGATCGAATTTATTTGTTAATTTTTAACTTGATTTTAAAATTTAAATGTGAATTTCTTATTAGAATTGGTCAATTAATTCTTAACACTTCCCTGATACGCGTTGAAAAACAATTTGAAAGATTGAAGTGGTTTTTTGATGTTTTTATCTGCCACTTGAATAGTGATATTTGAAATTAATAATTGTATTTTAATTTATTTATTTTAATTTATGTATAATAAATTTTCGTAACTACTAAATATGAACAAAAATTATTGAGTTAGATCAAATTTATGGTAACTTTTACCTCAATCCTGATATTTATATATGAATTTTCCTCTAGAATTGGTCAATAGCTCAATACTTGTTGAGAAAACATCTTGATTCACACAAAGATTGAAGTTTTTGGTGTTGTTTCTATTTGCCACTTTAATAGTGATGTGTGATACTAATAATTGTGTTTTGATTTATTTGTTTCATATATATATATATATATATATATATATATATATATATATATATATATCATTAGTTTTTAAGCAATACTAAATATGAACAAAAATTATTAAGCTAGTTTGAATTAGTTTATTTATTTTCTGCTCGATCTTGTATTTAAATCAAAATTTTCATCTAAAATTGATTAATTAACTCAACACTTCTTCTTATAGTTGTTGTCAAAAACAACTCGATTCACATATATATCGAAGATTTTTCTGTTGTCTGTATCTGCCACTCAAATAAAAACATGTGGTATTAATAAATGTGTTCTGATTTATTTGTGTGATATGTCTGTGAGATTTTACATATACTGAATATGAACAAAAATTATATTTATTTGCTAATTTTTAGCTCGATCTCAATATTAAATTATGAATTTTCCTTTTGCATTGGTCAATTAACTCGATATTTCTACTTATACTTGTCGAGAAAACAACACAATTCACACATATATATTGATTCAAAGTTTTTTCTATTGTCTCTATTTGCTACTTGTAATTTGGCTACCATTGTTCTTCAAGTTGTAGGACAAAATACACATTTAAAACATTATATTATAGCTACCTACTACTTTTCTACATATATTTGACGGTGCTTCTAATAAGAAACTAATTACATATTTGATCAAATTTTCAAATATAGCTTATTTTAAAAGTATCTTTTGTTTTTTTTTCAAATAAATAAATTAATGTGTTTGAATAGTAATAATAATTGTCAGGCTAACCAATTTGGAAATTGTTTATCAATATTAAAATAATATTATATTCTTGATTGGTCAAGATTTCAAAAATATTATTTTTTCAAATTACTAAAAACTTTAATAAAATTTTTTAGAAAATGTATCATGTCAATACTAGCGATATGAAACGAATAAAGTATGTATGTTTGTATGTTTTCTTTGGGGTGTCACCTAAACCACATATATCGCAATTTAATTAATATTAGTAATACCTATATCGCAATTTAATTATATTGTTGAATTGTTTTATATAGGAATTAGGTAGCGTCACATTGAAGTTTATTCCCTCACTAAAAGAATTACTAATAAATACTAATGTAAGCAACATTTTCCAGAAGAAAATATTTTGAAGGACGCAAAAATTGACTGAAAATTTGGTCCAGAATTTATTTTTTTAAAAAAAATTGTGGTTCAGTGAACCTGGACAATATGTGATAGGAACAATACAGTGCTCATGTGAAAAAGCAAGTTAGGAATGTGAAAAATAAATTTTAATAGCTTATTTGATTGATTTATCTGGACGTTCATGAGAGTTCAATTTTTATCTATTGTTTTATAGGAATAACTCGATAGTGTTAAAAAAAATATGTATTTTAGGCCTTCAAATTTAAGGGGTGTTATTTTTAATAATATTAAGTTATAAGTTATTATTTTTAACATATATTGAATATTATTTGTAGAAAAAATAAACTTTTCATGAAAGAAGAAATTATTAAAAGAAATTTGACATATTTAGAATAATATATCTCATAAAAAATAATTTAAAATAAAAATAGTTATATTATCAATTAAAAATTAAAAGAAATCAATTATATAAATATTATTAACGATTCAAATCTGAAATCTCATTTAATTTTTACCTTAAACCACTAATATGCTTGAACCGCTCGTGCTATTTCCTCCTTCATTTTGCTTACATTGCCCCAAATTAAGAAAAAAAGGTTAGGAGGAGCAAATATTGAGATAAGCAAGTTAGGATTAATGGCAAATATTTTACCCATAATAATATTAATATATTATACTTTAGATCTCCATTTTTAAAAACTTAATAATGCAATGCAAAACTTTAGGTGGCTCTCCATTAATATTGTTGGACAGAGGAATTAACTATAAATTAATGTGATGATACAAGATATTGAAGTGTGATAAAATTAGGACAAACAACTAATTTATTTTGACTTGATACACCTATTTAAGAAAATAATAATGCGTACAATAAGTTTTATCATTTTAATTATATTAATTGATGAAGGTCCAAATATATTAAGTTTCCATTTGAATTAACTTATTTTAGGTGCTTTTAAGTCAAAATAGCTTTAAAGTAATTTTGAAATGTAGTTAAAAATTATTAAAAAACACTTATTTTAAAGTCAAAGTAAATAAAAATAAGTCAAAAGTCAATTCAAACAAGTCTTTACTCATTGCATTATTCAAAGACATTAAACACAACGTTAATAAATTTAGGCTATAAAAGAAAAAAGAGAATTGTCTTTTTTCAATTTGTAAAAAATAACAAGTAAAACGGGAGATTAAATTTAAAAATACTTCCTCGGTTCATTTTTATTTATCACATTTTAACTTAGCACATCCATTAAAAAATAATTATCGATATAAATATTTTACCAAACTATCCTTATTAAATGATGTTTTAGTATTATGTTTTGAAAAATTATTTGAAGAAAGTATATTTAATGTTTGAGAATAAACATAGAAAATTTTTATTGTATTTTCATAATATGTCAAAGTAACAAATAAAAAAGAGAATTTAATTTTTTTTTAAAAATATTTGTGTGCGTAGAAATAAAGTTCATTTTTACTTGGATGTTGTTTGTGTTGAGAATAATGGACAAATCTCATTTTCCACTATAAAAAGATTAGGAAAAAAATAATAATACTCCTCGAACCAATTTCACATGTGAATAAGCAGAGATGCAAATCAATGATCAACTTTTTATTTTTTATTTAAAAAAAAATCCCTTTGATGCTTTTTGTAGTCATAAATTTATTTATTTTTACTTTTTCCACTAATAATTCTGCTTTATTTTTTTGGTGGGTCAACCTAACCCATTACGCTAGCATTGTGAAAGTACTTAGATAGTACACATTCACATACTGAGTAAAATCTAATTTTATTAGAGTAACACATCATAGTGTAAAATAACTTTATATGTGCATACGCATTTAAGTCTAAACTAATAAATATTTAGTTCAAAGAGCTTTAGTGGTTTATACTTTATCCCAATTAAAATTTATTCAATATTTAATGGATGCTTTGATTAAAATTGATCATAAAATTAAGATTATAATAGAGATAAACTATCTCAGATAATAAATGAAACAAAATATTCAAATTTTTTAATTTTATTAATATAAAACAAAATCCTAATTTCAAATTAAACGATCCTTTAAAATTTGTCATAGATCAGCCTCTAAAATATGGGATCCCCTAAAATACCTCCCATCAAATTGTATGTGTGGCCAGAGTAACAATATCAATATTAATACTTATGACATAGAATTAAAATTTGTGAAAACTTCAAAGTAAATATCTGACATAATAATTAGAAATTTTACATCATCTCTATAGGAATTAGAGTTAGAAGTGTAGAAGGTTAGTTTTCAGTAATCAACCTTCCTGATCACTCAATTGTTTTATTTTCAACAAACGACCTAACTTTAAATAAAGTTCGCCCCTCTATAGTCCTCGCTTGTTCATTTTTAAATTGACATATATATTAAGATAACAATTATTAACGTAATAAATTTATTATTACTGTGAAGTGAAAAAAATTGTGAAAACTTCAAAGTAAATTCATATTTTGCTTGTTTAGATCAGCTGAAGATTATTAGAAGAAAGATGAAAGAGAAGATTACAAAAAGCTAGAGATCTCAAATTCCATATATGGACGCCCATTTTTACAGACACTCCAAACGTAAATTAAAAACCGCAAAAAAAGAGAAAAAAAATTCAACAAAATTGTTTGATGGATTCACATCTGTTGGTGATTCCGATCACATCTTTACATAAGATATCTGTACTTCTTATTTTAAACTTGATATCCTAAATCATAAGCCACTTTCTGTCCTTTTTTTTATTGTTATTATTTGGGGCTTATAGCTTCATTGATCATCATCAAGATTCATTGATTATATCATTATTAGTGAAGAAATCAAGCGACTGCAACCGTTCCATTTAGTACAGCTTTATTCGAATCAGTTTCTTTAGTTGTTTGAGTCTCTGTTTTTGTTCTTGAAGATCTCTTTGCTGCAGCAATTTTCCATTTTCTTTCAATTGCTTCATCCATTTCTATCTGTTCTTGTCTGCATTCTTGGCTACAAAATGGTGTATCCCCTCTGAAATCAAAACAAAAAATTCACTCCCATCAGATCGCTTTTTTCTCCACAAAAAAAAACAAAAAACAGGGGTCTAGATCTTTCTTTATTTATAATAATTACACCCCGTCGTTATAATTGTTGTTATAATATAATATAAATCATAACAGAGTTTGGATCCATGATTTAAACTTTTTCATATGACTGAACTGGAAAAAAAGAAGGTGAAATACAGTTACACAAACCTGTACATGAAGATGTCATGGTTGTGAGCTAAGGTTCTCTGGCAAAGAGAACAAGTATCAAGAAAATGGGGTTGGTAATTTTCTTCACACCCAGTGTAGTATAGTGCAGCATTCATTTTTCTTCCTTAATGTTAGAAGAGATTTAAAAAGTGGAAAATTGGGTTTGTTATGTAAGGAAGGAAACTGGATCTAATTGAGAAGAATGATTGATAAGAGCAGAGAAGAGTGGGAAAAGTAGATTCTGGGAGGAAGACAAAGGAAGCCCAAAGTCTATTATTTATATTGTTGCTCAAGAGAAAGAAGCTAGTAGATTAATAAAATTAATTGGGTCTATACATCATTTATCAAATAGTTAAAAGGACTGGTTTGTGTCAAATAAATTGAGACGATAAAATAAATGTTTGCCATATAAATTGTGACGGAGGATGTTGATGGAGTCTTAAGTAAAATATTAGTACTAATAATAGTATTTCTAGGACTTGAGGGAGCAAAAAGAAAAAAAAAGAGGAAAAACCAGTAGTTGTTTTTTTATAATCCAGTGGGTGGAATAAAGGAAGTATTATTACATAAGCCAATTTGGTTATGACAGCAAACAAAGCTACTTTTTCTCAATTTGTACCTTTTTTAGGACAAAAAATGCTTTATTAGCAATTTGTTCCCTTTTATTTGAGAGAATCATTGACAAGTGCATTAACTTTGATATTTTATTCAATTTGCGGTGTATGTTTTTCTCTTCTTTAGTATGAGATTTGCTTTTTGTTGCAAATCTACTAGTATCATTTTTCAACCTCCTTTATTTTGTTTATATCATGCTTTTTTTTCTTCCCTTAAGTACACAAAGTAACCGTACTACAAAGTATTTTTAATTTCAAGCATCTTATGATTTAAATCAAATCTTTATCAATAAAGTTAAAATTTACCAAAACTATAGGACCAAACTAGCAAAAAAAAAGAATCACATGTTAAAAAATAGAACTGTACTATTAAAAAAGAAAAAATAATGACTTTTTCCATGATTTCTCTAGAGAAGCTCCATTTTTTGCTGTGTCATTTTTTTTCCTCCCACATTGGAGCTGTGTCATCACTGGGCCCCATGGGTCCCGCGTTACAACACATCATGGGTCCCACTTTTCCTTCCATAATTAGAACAGAGCCAATTAAAAACATTGAAGTTGGTGGGACCCAATCAAAAGGGGACCATCTTAAGACATGCGGGCTCAATTTTCAAAGTCTTTGTCTACCCGCTGCCCGAATTCATCTGACCGTACTCGTCGGGCAGTTTATTTAATTTAATTTATTTAATTTTAAGGATTTGCAGTTACACGTCCAACCTAATCATGTCAGTAACTTCTGCACACGTGGCGTAAAAAAAGAAAAAAATAAGAAAATAAATGAAGCGTAAAAATTGAGTCGCATGCGATAGATTTGAGATTGAACTTGGTGGATGGCTATTCATTAAACCAATTTAGTTATTTCGAAGGAGTATTCCTATAAAATGTTAATAATATCATTAGATAAAAGAATAATTTTTTATATCGTATAAATTTTGGAAAATTCCTTTAACACGTGGCGTTTTGATTTGTTGAAGAGGGATTTGTTCCATGTTCTATGTCATAAGGAGGTGTCACAATATTAACGAGGTCAATGGAATCAACGCTTGTGATCTCAATTATTGTTTCACATAATTATTATTTTTTAAATTTTATTTTAGCTTTCTCTGTCAATTACACGTAGGATTTGTTTGGCCATTGGAGCAAATTCTTATTATTATTTTTTTGGTGTGTGGTTGGGAAAAAACTTATGTATTAAGGTTTAGTATATTAATGAGTAGTAGTATTTAATTATTATTTTTTTATATAAAATTCATCACACTTAATATTCTATGCAATTACTGTTTCACTATTAAAACATAAATAAAATAGATACTCCCTCTCTCAGAATTTATGACTGGTGCTTAGTTGAGCATGAAATTTAAAAAGGAACTTTTAAAATTAGTGAGTAGTTTATAGAAAAAGATATAAACGTTTGATAGGTAGAAACCATCAGATTAAGAAAAATAAAAAAGTTAAAGTTAAATTGTGTAAGTGAGTACGGAGTAAAAAAATATTTTATTTTAGAAAGAACAAAGATTTAGGAGATTAACCAAAAGAAACAAAGTGGAGAGTCAATCGCTCATCGTCACAATTTATCGTTTGAATCTAATTTTATAAAATATTCGTAACTTGATAAATAAGATATATAAAAAAATTAATGTAAAATAGATCTCACTCCTATTTTAAGACGATAGATGGGCTAGCTAATTCTATGTCTATTGTAGTATTCTTTTTGTTCGGTATTATTTTTTCATAATTTTTATTTTTAGAGTTAAACTATAAAAATTTTGACTAATATTTTAAGATGTATTTTTTTACCATATTAATATGCAAAAAAATTGTAATTTATAGTACTTTTCATATAATTTTAGAATATTTAATTTTTTTTATTTAATATATCAAATTAATGTGATCTAATTTATCTTTAAAAATTATTCAAATTAATTTTCGATAAACATAACATGACAAATAATTCTGAACGAAGAAAGTATGTTCCACTTTAATGGTTTGCTTTATATATTAGTAATCTCTTTTTGCAAACTAAGTTAATAGTGTATGATAAGTAGAGATACTAATTAAAGGGAATCTCTGACACTTGATTGGTTACTTGAATGTGTAATCTACAAATTAGACACGTAATTAGAAGTTAACAACTCCGATGAAATAAATAAATGAGGAATGATTTTTTTTTATGTTCCCTAGAAATTTTCTAATTTAAAAAGTCTAAGTACGTAATGACAGAGAGATTTCATTTGCTTAATTTATAAATTATAAAATATAATAATTGGCTAAAAAAAAAAAAACGTCTGCAAGTTTGATCAGATTTTGATCTTTATTAAAAAAGAATTGTGTTGTAATGAATAGGTGGAAATGAGTCAGAAGCAATAATATGATGCATGTGACGGAATCAATTAACACTAAAATAATTAGATATTATGGACCTTAATACATTATATCAGCATTAATTTAACAACTTGTAATAGATTTAATTTTTATTGTTTGGTATTATTGTTAGGTCATACCCTAAATGTGGCTTTCTTTTTCAGCTAACTAATGAGGTCATTAAAAGTACGTGGTTTTTTTTTCACGATTTAACTATTGATAGTTTTAAAAATATTTTTTGTTTAATTAATTAGATTTAAATATATTTTTGATCTTTTCATATAAGTGAAGTACATTCTTAAATTTTAGTTAAATTTATAGGTGTTTTCAACACTCTCTTAATTTTTTATTCAGAGTGATAATTTTTGTATGCAATTTAAAATGGAAACACATTTACATCGAGGATAATTCATCTAGTTGATAAAATAAAATATCTGATGATATCACTAATTATAATATTATAACAAAAATTATTAATGTGATATGAGGAAGGGATTAGGATGAGCATTAATCTCGTATTAGGTATTTGAATTAGGGAAGGTTGTAAATTCTTTCACAATTGATTTTTAATACATTATGGAGTAATAACTAATAAGTAAAGAACTCAAGTGTGGCTCTTTAATTCGTTCTTTTTAATTTATTTATTATATAACAATAATAATAAATTAAAGTTAATTAATTACACTTTACAATTATTCTCTTATTACTAAGTAATAGTTTCTGAACTTTTTGAATCACTATAGTCAAAATTAAATTTCAAATAGATATAATTACTAGAGATGATTTAATTAGTAAAATAAACACTAAATCAATATTTTTCTAATAAATAAGTGAATTGAAGAAAGTATAGATTATAGAAGACCTACACTCAAATACAATTTAGTCTTTTTGATATCAAATTCATCTCAATTAAATATTTTTATATTGTAAATAAATCATTTGTATGCTAAACATACTAAAAGTGCAATAAATTGTAGGGAGATTTAGATTGAAATGCTAAGTGTTGCATTCCTAAAGTGCAACATCGGAGTGATTCAAAAATTAATTAATTAATTCATCTTTTAAAAGAATTTAAAGAAAAAGAGAATTATTTTTTGAGTTATCAGAATGTTGCGTTTTTAGAATGTCAACAGAATGATAACTCTGCTTGTAATATAGAACTTCTAATCATTATGAGTGTATTTTTTCAAATTGATGAAGTTTTTCTTTTATCATGTCATATATTGTGTCTTGTATATTATGTTGAATATTCAAATATTTTACTTATTATTTATTCAATTTTGTCATTTAGAGCTTATATACCCTTGTTATGAAAGTGACTCATATATGCCAAGAACAATAATCGAAAAATTATTTTTATTTTTAATTTAGTTAACAAAAGAAAAAATAATTAAAAATAATTTTTTTTTTTAATTTCAGACACGGCGCTAACATGACATTAATGTGGCAACGGGTGTAATACACCACAAATTGTGAGAGTGGTGTTACACGTCTCAGGTAGCGCTGTTCATGGTTATGGTTAACAATCAAATCAAACGGAATAAAAAAATGATATTTGGTCTAGTTTGGTTAGGTTTGGTTTTTAAATTTTGAAAATCGATACTATTTGGTTTGAGTTTGGTTTTACTAAAAAACAACTGCAAAACTAACCAAACTGAACAGTAAATTAGATATATAAATTTTATTATTATTCATATATTATTCATAAATAAATTAAAAAATATTTTGTTAAATTTTAATTAACTTAAGTCTTCAACTTTATCATTTTCTTAATCCCAACACTTTAGCCCAAGCATCACAATCTCAAATCCAAGTCAATCCGTTTTAGTCTTTACCTAATGTACTTCACATAAAATAGTTACACTTTCGCTTAAATGAATCACTTTGTTTTCGTGTAATGATAACTCTAATATTGTTTAACTGCTTGATTGAATTGACATTAGCTTTTCTGTAAATTGTTTACGTACTTGGTGTTTGTTTCTATAGAGATATGTACGTCCTTAAAAAAATTATTACTTTTAAACCGAATAATGCATAAAAACTGAACCAAATCGAGGATTATTTTTTTCTGTTTTGGTTTGGTTTGATTTTAAAATTTTAAAAATCGACTAGATTGGTTTGGTTATGATGTTAATCAATAACCGAACCACGAACACCCCTAGTCTCAGGAGTAAATAAATTCAGTTTTAAATAGTAAATGTGTGTAATAGATCATTAGATTTTCATAATAGTTTAAGTATCTAACTAACTTTTCGAAACAAGTTAAAGGGAGGAATCTCTATGTCTTTCCTTT